CCCCCCCCCCCCCCCAGGTGTTTGTCGGGCATTTGTCACTTTGGCGAAAAAATGTTGCAAATGCCCCACCATGGGGTCCAAATAACGCAACAAAATCCTCACCCTTGGGGACTTACACTGACGCAAATGCCTCACCCTTGGGGACAAATATAAGCTTTCTGAGGATTTTTGAACCAAAAAATCGAATGCATGCAAGCTCTATCTCGTATCTGGGGGGAGGGGGGTGCACATCCCCCTAGCCCTGGCCAGAGGGGTGCAGGGGGGTTACTATTTTTTATGATAAAGCAAAAAAGACAAAATGAGATACAGTAATTGGAGTAATAACATGATGATAAGTGAACTGTGAACAACAATTACAATTCAAATACAGTAGTTGATGGGCGGGCGGCACACATGACCGACACAACTCGGCACCAGAGCACCCCCCTACCAGATCATGCTGGATCCATCCCTGTCTCGTATCAATATATCCATATTTAAAATCGATATTTCTGTAGCCATTTCATTTCAAAATGTTTTTAATTAAAATATTGAAGTCTCAAAACTTGATAGAAAAATATGAAACTGCAGAAGTAAGTGAATGTATCAACAGTATAGACAAGAAAAAAGTATAAGTGTGTATGTCTGCCATGATTAATTTGCAATATGCACAGACTTGTAAACATGCATGTGTTGCGTACTAAAATATGGCTAAATGGGGAAACAAGCGACAAATATTCGACTTTTTAACCCTGCGCAAATTCCCCAACCGAGGGCTAACCTGCAGAAAACAAATGCCCTGGGAACAAGTACAGTTGAAAATACCTGACAAATGCCCAGGGGGGTGGGGCACCTATGGGATTGATTGAGATATAAGACAACGTCTTAAAAACAACAGTTATCCAAATAATTTTAGAACGAATTCGCATGCTATCGAAATTCTCTCAAATGAAATAACTCATGCAATAGATCATGGATATATCTTAAGCAAATAGCATATGTACCCTCGAGAGAGTACTGAACTGTTTTAATAATAAATATCTGGTTTATTTCACCAATTTTCTACGACTAGATACACAATTTAATTAATACAAAGTATATCAATATCAAATCAATAATCATGTATATAAAACATGAATTCACATGAAAAAACAACACAAAAACAACACCTTCCATTACAAGAAACATTTAAATACCTGGGTTCCCATCTGGTGCATCATCGTAGCCACCAAAAAGAAATAACTAATGTCCAAAAATATAAAATAATTTACTTCTCAAATGTTTACAATTTTTATCACTTTCATTTTTTAACTTGTGAGCCTGCGTAACCTTGTACAGCAGTTACAGGCCAAAACTACTGTCTACTTCGTCTTACCATTTGTATTGTTTCTCATCACCAGGGCTCTCATTTTTAAGGAAATTTCCTTAAACTGAGGAAATTTTGACCTTTTTAAGGAGACTTTTAAAGAGATAGAATTTTTAAGGAATTTTTAAGGAATTTTGAGTTGAAAAACACACTCCAAACAGTGATTAGTTATTACACTGTTTGTTATACTTATAAGTTATCTCCATTGACCTAATGAAAGTTTTTGGCAGTAGTTTTCACTGAAATCGCTGATCATCTTCAATTTTATTGTCCATACTTCGTTCTTCAAGTCTCTGAGTGACTCTGACTCACTGCGTCTTTGAAGCGCAGTTTTCGAACACGAAATTTTTTTGCAGCAAACTCTGCATGATGGTTTTTTGGTACAACAAGCCAATGTTTAAAAGCAGGATATTTTGTCCATTCCGTTCGAAATTTTTGTTTATACTTTTTTTTAAATTTTAGTCATTTTTGGAGCGCTTCCCTCGGATTCATAATCAGAAAATTCAGAATCCGCCATTTTCTGATGTAAAAAAGTTATTTACATATTTTCGCGCCAATTGTGCCTATCATCGCGCGCCACTGGAGTGTTCCTCGGAAACTAGGGTCTAAGGAAATTTTTGTCGATTTAAGGAATTTTTACCACTGAGTCTAAGGAAAATTTGGAATTCCGTTCTGAGAGCCCTGCTCATCACTCATCAGGACTGCCGACTGTTGCTCGAGCTATTTGCCCACACCTTATACGCCAACTCACTATATATATAG